CGATTTAATTACCAATTTATTCATAAATACTAGTCAGTCACAACGTTTGCCCTTCACTTACTGGGCCTAGATAGGAAAAGTTTTAAAGACAGAGGGGGCTGACATAGTCTTAACAATCCCACACAATAGGACTTTGTTTTACAGTTATTTCTGGGTATTTGGCCAGGAGACTTCCGCTTCTTCCACCAAGAGGACTCCACCCCGTTCAATTTGCGATAAAGGACACACACTTTTGAAGGCTCAGTCAACGAGGGAAGGCATCGCGCTGTGGACTGCCTTCATCTGCCAACTAGTCCTAATAACGCTAGTTTATCCAAAACTGCTCGATATAACGTAGGAACCATGGAATCAATTGTCCCCTCTTCACAGATGAAGATGAGATATTTTGATCAATGGGCTTTAATCGAAGTCCACATTACGGAATAATAAATAAATTGTATATTCAAGGTCCAAGAGGCACTTTCATTACTGGGATTCCATTATTGGGATTCCAGCAAAGACTCTTTTGTTACCGAACGCTTTTTGATTAGTGTAGATGCCTCCATGACTTTCGATGTTTGTTTAAAGTAAACCGTGTAATATAGAACCGATAGTCAGAATTTTATTTTTTACAGGCATATCTGAAAAGTTACCAGCAGTCACATTCACAAGAAAGGAATATGGCTGTTTTTGTATTCCCTAAGACATTTTGATTTAGATTTGACTAGGTAACGCTTGGTTTACAATTATCCATGACAAGACTGACATATAACCAGCCTTCTCTCTCTGAGCTCAATATTTACATGATCACTAAATATTTTTCGTTAGATAGAACTTTATCTACGTTCGAAATTCTACCTCAAAAATGATATGATTGAAAATATGCACATAGTATTTGTTTGCTAGCAGCATACGGCATGAAGTCGGAGAAAGTGAAAACACTGTACGTATATTCAGCAACCTAATGGGAATAAGATATATAATTATAATGACTAGCGGCCATACGGAGAAGGTTCAAAACTTCAAAGGTTCAGGATTCAGTGATGAAATGTGCGCATTAAATATGGGCCCACGTTATTGGGTGTTTATGCTACTAGTAACGTTTTCGTTTTGTTAACTTGAAGGTAGGGTTTTTGGTCTTCACATGATATTTTGCGGTCTTGGGGTTGGTTGCAGGCGAGACTATACTTCCATCTAACCACATCTTTCTGCTGATAGGCAACGCTTTAGAAAGGGAAACTTTATGTGGGACGGAATCATTCCTAGGTGATTGCGAATATATCAACCCTCAAAGTATGAAGCAAAATCCGACACTAGGCAAACTGTTAATTTAATTGCCTACTAGTTAATATAGAGTAGTTATTTAAACAATATGTAAATATCCAGTGGGCAGTGGGTAGGAAGGATGCACATTTGCTTGCAAAGGCGAGGGTGTTGTCCCTATTTTCCTTCCTATTTGGCAAGTTACCGCGCAGTTCGCCACTTAAACTGCTTTATTCTAACGATAGCATGTGATATCCACCATAGTAGTATGATTAAAGAACCCGACTGTTCCTGGTTATATTGATAGCAAAAACATACCATTACAGGTAGTCAATAAGGAATACATTGTGAAAGTCTGCGCATGGAGGTTTGTCTTACCCTAAAATAGGCGAATCAAACCCCAAATATGGCGCCCACAAGTTCTTGCGTTGAGTTTTAATGCTCGCGAGGCCGGCCGCAGGAAGGCACTATAGCATTAAAAAGTGTACAGCTTGCTGAAACGCCAGGTCGGTGAGCTGTGCCGTCGAATCAGGGGATGCACTCACAAAGATTTTTCCTCTAGGCGTCTCATCAGTTCGACTGACATGGAATAAGTCTTTTTAGTCAGGGTGATGACGGAGGCAGAACTTACTGTTTTAACGGATTGAGGGGAGCAAGTCGTGGCGTAATGTTAGGGCCCTTTTCAGCCAACTCAGCAAACTTCTTTGGCACGTTGACTTTGTTGAGGATTGACCCCATCAATCCAGTTCCAGCATGACAACCAGAGTCGTCTGAATCCATGGAGGATTGTCTGGCCGTTAGCGGTAAGGGCGGTTGTAGGTCACCCAAGACTGGTGCAATCGGAAAACTATCCTCCTCACCCTCTTCTTCTGAGATTAGATTGAGGTCGTCCATAGACTGTATTTCCGCCAAAAATGCTCGTGCAGAATCCTTAGCGGTCTTGCGTGGTGTACAGCGTTCACAGGAGTGGCTGAATCTCGAGCTTTCAAAGCCTTCAGATGACTCATCTTCAGTCCAAATGTCTTTCGAAAAATCTGCTTCACTTGCAGAATCCTCTTCGAACACATCTGCCTTTGACCAGGGCTGGATTTTCAGTTTAGGTGGTCCATCAGAGAAAGCGAGCATCTGAGAGAAGATTTAAATGTTATAAAAGCGACTACTATATATAAATTAGTAATAACATAATTGTTGTGGCTGTCGTGTTGTATTAAAGTCCACCGTTTTTGTAAGCTAACTGATTTACACGAGGCGCGCTTTTTTGTACTTGGAATTGACTGAGACCAGTTAAACCAATGGTGGCACACATGTAATTTAGTGTCCTTGATGAATGCTTCCAGTATTTATTTGCAAAATATCTTGCTTCAGAATATTTGAAAAGGGCACTTCAATTATCTTGATTGCCTCTTTCTTAATAATACAAACAAATAGGAAATGAGTGATCACCTACGATCATATCCTAGAGATGAATATAAACTTGAACAGACATGAATAATGTAAAGTGCCGCTTTCTGGTTTAAGCTGAAATATTGCCTTGACACATGGTTGACTGAGCTGTCTGTGCTATGTACGTATGCACAGTAGAGTCAGCTCGTGAAATGCTAAACTAAATTCTGGAATCGTTTTTAAAACATGAAGGATCCATGCTGTATGTTTTTTTCTACTGAATGTCAATGCCTTTGAGAAATGAATTCATACTTATTTTCGTATTATCGCTGGGAATGAATGCTTTTCCTTGCAAGAAAAATAAACTTGATTCAGAAATTGAAAAAACTGCTTTAAAACCAAAATGCTCTACTTTTCAGTGTTAAATTTAAAGAAATTGAAATTTAATGCAAATAATATATCAGAGGGAATATTTATATATGTTTTCTATGTGAAAGGTGGTAACGTCTAAGTACATCTTGATTTATTTTTGCCCGCTGCCAAAAAGGGAATCACTTAAAAGCCACCATACTAGCAAGACAGAAGTATCTTAGAATTATAACGGACGAACTTTCCCACGCAATCTTTTCTAATCAGAACAGTACGTAAGAATTTTGGTTAACAGTTCGCGAGATAGGCTACTTACTCTATATTATTTAGTGAGAACGCAGCCTAAGTTTACTTAAAAGACCTCAAGTAAATCGATGACGGATCCGTCTGTTCTTATCTACCCTGACATATAAGGCGATAATTTTATTTTTCGGAGCTTTTCAGTACGCTTATATGCAAACTTTTGCAATCTTGATAGACCAGCAATAGAAACCAGGGAAACTTTATTGCGACCACAGCAACCTCAAAAGCTCACGGTCACAAATGAGCCCAGAGCATGCTGCATTCACCCATTATTGATTTTTTGAGACATGAGGTAGAAGCCATATGCATAGAGGTTAGCTTATTTAGCATGATTCTTAAAAGGCTCGTAAAAGGCGCTGGACTGTGCCTTCAATGCAAAAGGAGACATGATTTTTTGGTCAGTAAACCTCGAAGGTAGCATAAAGGTGAAACAATTTACGAATAAGGGTAATTTATGCGAGAATTCTATCAAAATACACGATACTATGTCTCACTGCCGAGATAAATGAAGATTCAAAAGAGCTAACCTGTACATTTCGAAGACGCTGCTCCATGGCTGCAAGTTCTTTTTGCAACAATATCCTAAAAAGGAGGAACATCTCAAAAAACTTGATGAAGCTGAGGCATACCTTCAATTATATAAAGCGCTTCCATCACATTTACATTAATTATATGACGAAATAATCTATCTATATTACTGCTTTTCGCAGTTGATATGTCAACCAACTTTCAAGTCATCGATTGTTAATGAGATGCTAAAATTATTTAGCTACTGAATACATGTTACCACAAGACTGTATAAAATGCCCTCATTTTACTTTAAAAAGAGTATCACAAGAGAAAAGCCTGTTTATTCACTTTGATGTCTTGCTCTAAAGCAGCATTAAATTGGGTTTGCCTGCAGAGTTAAAAAATAACGAAAGGTACGCTGATACGAAATATGAATGCCGAAAAAGAAGGAGTATCAGTAACCGAAAGTTTACTGTCCTAACGTTTAACGAACCAACAAGCATCCTTAAAATGGCAAGATTTTTAAGGGTAAAAATCGAAAACACATTTCAAAACTTCAATTAAACTTTCATGAGGAAAACTAGCTACGGGTAGAGGTACTTTTAGGTCACTGAAAAATTTGCAATTGCAACCATAGGTGGCTTCCAGGACTGATCATGCAGTAATAATCTATCATCTGTTGTATCTGAATAAAAATGTCGGCTACCAACTAGGACTTCAATTTTGCGGCATCGAAAAAGCTGATCAAAATTCACTCGAAAGAGCTGCTTGACCTTACGCGTGGCAGATATTAGGTACAGGTACTTCATGCAGTCAATATAGGGATTCACCTTAGTTCTGCAGGAGAATATGGACTTGGCCTGTTTAATTTCCTTGTTTTTGGACGACCTAAAGGCATAACGAAAAAACTGTTCTCTTAAGCCCCAGCGAATTTTATGGGGTCGATTTTGCTTCTACAGAAGGTAAAACGAATAGTAAAACCTAAATTGAAAACAAAAATGTGGAACTCGCTTTGAGGATGATGCAATTTGTGCTAAATACAAGTTTTCACTTCGTTGTCATACACAACTACAGCTAAATTTAACACACTCAGAGCACAAAGAATTTACTCCAATTACGCATGTCAATTTCCAGAGAAGGTAAAAAGCTTAACAGTAGAAACTGGTGCATGTATCAGAAAGCACATGATAGGCATACTTTTACACGGCGAAACACATGTCCAGGATTTTAGGTACCGTCCGTGCTGCAAGTGTGGTAAACTAAGCCATAGAACTGTCACTGTAACCACGACCAAACAAAACGTAGTTTATTTTCATGATCCGTTAGTACATTTGGTTTGGAAAATATTTATTTCGGTTGGTTTTACTCAAGATACCAAGGATATTAATTTATGAAATCGCGAAAGCCCTACTACAAAGGGTATTGTGTACTTAAAATGGTCAAATTTAAGGTTTAAGTTGCTCATAGAGGAATCGCTGTGAACAAATGAATGTCCATCCAGTTTGCACGGATAGATATACCTATGATTTATTGACTGTTAATTTGGAAAAATATTAACTACGTTTTGGAGAAAGGCTTTGATGCACAGCTCCCTCCTTAAGGTGTGCGTAGGTTCACCTCTGATTTGAAAAAAAACGTAGCAAAATCTGATTGAAAAAGACGTCATCATTTTACGTGTACACACTATAATCATTGGTGGATGTAATTTCACTTTTTGAAACTTAGTTTTTAAATGTGTAGTATACTTCTTATAGCTTAAAATAAACGGAGTACTACCCCAACTTTTCGAATAAATGGTAAATATGGGAGGATCAACTTAAAAAAGCCGTCTCACATTATATCAATTTGCGTCCTCGCGATTGCGTCTTTGAAATTAAAGACATAATTGCACGACAATTAAAGAGTGAAAAATTTCCTTCTGTTACATTTTCTTTGAATACTAGCAAAAATATTTTCTGTAGGTGGGGCTTAACGGGTTGAATTTGGCCCCGTCTAATTCAGTGGCACGTGGACTGAATTAGACGGGGCCAACTCCCCCGTTTTCGAGTTTCAACCCCTGATTTCATTGTTTTATCAAAGAAGAAAATGAAAACTAATGGTTATTGATACTTTTTTGACAAAAAATAGATTTCGAAAAATGTTTACAATAAATTTAGTTAACCCTTAGCCCAGGATTGCCCCGCCTGGCCCCGTCTGGGGCCCCACCTACGCTGGGGCGTATGCTGACAGGACAATAGGAGATTGAGAAAATTGTTCTCAACACAAAAGCCAAATAAATAATCAAATTATAAAGCATAATTTATAGCTATTTTGTTACGAAACAAGAGTGGAGACAGCAAGAACGTAGGCAAGGACCATGTCCAGCGACATGTGTATTTCCATCGAGTATCAGGTACTTTATACCCAATTTGGAGAAACAATACGTTATGAAGGTCAAAAAATAGGCGGTAAAATACCTGTGCCTAATTTGTCGTTACTGATATCCTCAGTTTGAAATCTAATACCATTTTGGGAACACTTGAATAAAATAGATTGCCTTACGATTCTATTTCGCTGGGCTTGAACGTCAGATATTTCACTAATCCATCAATTTCATTCAGGGCATGTGGAGTAAATGCAATAAAGCCACTTGGATGGATTGCACTTTGCCCAAGATTTTTTAGTCCCGCAGTTGTAAGAAAGGAAAATGACTCAAGCTGTACGATATATAAATTAATGGAGAAAAAATTACTTCGGAAATTAATTCTTCGGACTGATCCACAAGATCCATGCCAAGGAACAATTTTGCTTCATAGTGTAACTCTGTAGGCAGTTTTGATTTTATGAGACCCCATATTGTTTGTGGGGATGACTTGGTCGTACTATCAAACATGAGGATTATTCTTGTCTATTTTTTTTTGTAGTGTTGCGATTTCCACTCTTGCTGTCCTTTTCCATGGCATAGCCGTTTTTCGAGGTAGTAAAACAAGCACATTTAACGTCGAAGTGAGGGACTATAAAAAGCTCACAAATTTCCTATTGGAAAGTCGGGTTCGTTTCTATCGTATATTCAGCATCAAAATCCTAATATTGTCACGTTCTATGTCATCTAAATATCAGTGCTCAATTTACCTGGATTTTTACCAAACTTAAATTCGTGGATGCTTCACATAAGTCAAATGTGAACACTGCGGGTTTACAAGAACCGAAAACCCCTACAGGGCGCATTCCTTCCCTAACTTTGGGATATAGTAAATCCAAGGAATATGGAAAATATCCTGTAAATTTATTATTTAAATTAAACTTGTCCTGTCACGTTTTTTCAAACTGTGAACTACTATATCCTAAGATGGGTTTGGGCTGATTAGTGCTTCGAAGTTTACATCTTTTAAACGAAGTCTCCCTCAATTACTTTTTTAGAATTACGTTAAAAAATTAAAAGTCTAGGCTGTTTAAATAAGCTTCGTCATCCGACGTGATGGGCAGGTCACGCTGCCTATTTTTCGTTATAACGGAAAAAAATAAAGTAGCAATTATTATAATTTTTTTCGTTATGATATTTGGCCTTTGTTAACCACTCT